CTGCAGCATGCAGATAACTAGAAAAGCCAGGTAATGCCCAGAGGGCCTCTGTCTACCCAGGAGCCCATAGAAATGAAGTCAGATGACAGTTACAAATTACTTCTCAAGCAGTCACCCTCTCTCAAATATCCTCTTCTCTACATCCCCTTGGAGAGCTTCTAAGTCTGAGAACTTAATTCCCCTTCATGCACAAATAGTACTAACCTCTGATCCTTAAATATGTCCCTATACTCTCCCACTTTTGTGCCTTCATATGTGTTATTTCCTTTACCTGGAAAATCCTTCTACCATATCTCTTCTTGTCCTTAGTTCCTATCCATACTTCAAGGCAATCTCAAATGTTGCCTTATCCTTGAAGTTTTTCTTTATCTCTGAGATTCACTTTCACTCTGTCTACCTCCTTCCCCAAAAGAAAGTGATCTCTCCCTCTTCTGTTTCCAGCAGTACTTTCTTTGGATATTTGACTGTGCATTCAGACCATACCTTTTAATATAGCTCTTGTGTTTTGTACCCACTACTATACTGTAAACTTCTATGAGGGCAGGGACGTGCCTTTCTGATCTAGAACCCCCCCACGCGCCCTCCCCCAATATCTACCATAGTGCCTTACACACATCAAGTGTTCAATAGATATTTAAGGAATGAATGAGAAGGGAAGCATGGCACAGTCTTTCTGTCCCAGTGCCTCTCATAGAGCTGGGTATATAGTAGTAATAATAATGATGTAGAATCTGGTGACGCCCTTTTATATACAGTGTTCTTCTAATAGCTATTGTGTGTTCATGTCCACTCCATTCAGAACCATAGCTCACAAAACCTCCACTGATGCATTTTTTTCTCTAGTCAGCCAGAGGATATATTAATTAAAATCAAAGGCATTTAAATAGTGCAGTAAAGAGAATTGCAATAGAATATTTCCCCTCCCCCATAAACCTGAGGCACAGTCTTGCACAAATATTTACATCTTTGAGGAGAGTAGACACACATAGGGATTAAGGGCATATACGTGGGAAATGTGGCACAAGTGTGGAGGGGGTAGCTCGTGCCTTTGACCTATCAGGATCATTGATATCTTCTGGTGATGTCACCTCACCCTCCTCACTGGGCCTGTTCCCCATTGGGTATGATGTCTCCACTGGTCTGAGGGTGACTGCTAACTGTGTAGTTTCAGCTTGGCATTGTTTTACTCATCTAATGGTAGCTGCTAGGTGTGGTAATCTATTCTGGGCATTGTCCCATGCTACTAGCTTCTGGGATAGTCACTTCAGGGCCATCTGCCAACCATGTCAGCTGCAGTCTGGTAGGGCAAAGTGGCTAAAACCTCTCTATGATAAAGGAAAGCTGACAGCTCTTTAGATGTAGCTATCATACCCAGCTAATAAAGGCCAAGTATATATGCTTATATTGAGTCTTTTCAAACCTTAGGGCTGATGAGCACAATCCATGTTATTTGATCTGAGGAAGCAAGGAAATGAAGCAATTAAATGCCTATTATATACCAGGTGCTGTGCTAAGTGCTATACAAATATCACCTCATTTGATTTTCACAACAACCCTGAGGAGTAGATACCCATTTTACAGCAGAAGAAGCTGAGCTAGACAGAGTGACTTGTTCAGGATCATACAGCTAGTCAGTGTCTGAGGCATAATTTGAACTCAGGTTTTCCTGACTCCAAGTAGGTCTTGGAGAATGATGACCTCATCTTTTTGGTTTACCTTTTGTCTAGGCTCAAACTCATTTGCATGCTAAACCAGTTGGCTTTAGGGAATATCTTAGAACACAGTTTCAGTCTCTGCTCATTGTTGTTCTGTTGAGTCTGACTTTCTGTGACCCCATTTTCTTGGCAAAGATGTTGGAGTGGTTTGCCATTTCCTTCTCCAGTTCATTTTACAGATGAAGAAACTGAGGCAAACGGGGTTAAGTGACTTGCCCAGGGCCACACAACTAGTAAGTGTCTCAGGCCAGATTTTAACTCAGGTCTTCCTGACTTCAGACCTGGCACTCTATCCACTGTGCTACCCAACTGCCTCTATGATAAACATAATACATAGCATATAATCAATAACATACATGACAGTGTGGTATAAATTAAACTAAGCACACAAATCTCAATGGAATTCACAATACATGAAAGACAGCAGGATGTAGTGGATAGAGACCTGGAGTTGGAGCTAGGAAGAGCTAGGGTTCAGGACCGCTTCAGACACATACTAGCTGTGTGACCCTGAACAAGTCACTGCTCTAGGCAACTCCTTAGACTTTAAATTGCAGAAGAGATGACAGCCTAAATTGGTAAAGGGAGTTTCCTTACTTAGGAATTTCCCATACCAATGAAATCTTAAGTCCAATCTCTATCCCTATCTCTATAGCTGAGCAGAGATTGGAGCAACTAGGTGTCATAGTTGATAGAGTGCCAGGCCTGAAGTCAGGAAGACCTGAGTTCAAGTCTGCCTTGAGACATTTGCTAGCTGTGTGACCCTAGGCAAGTCACTTAACCCTGTATGCCACAGTTCCTCATCTATAAAGTGAGTTGGAGAAAGAAATGGCAAACCACTCCAATATCTTTGCCAAGAAAACCCAAATGGGGTTACAGAGAATCAGACATGACAGAACAACGAGCAGAGATTGAAACTTCCTGTTCTAAGATATTTCCAAGAGCCTATCTGGTTTAGCATGTAAATGAATTTGAGCCCGGACAAACAGTAAACCAAGAAGGTGAGGTCAGTGTTCTCCAGGCCCTACCCCACTCTGCATTTCTTCTTTTACCATACTTCTCCATCAGCCACAAACCCTTTAGTGCTATAATTATGGACAATGAAAAACTTTTTTTGGTCATTTTTATTTTTTTAAATTAATTTTATTTTATCAACAATCACTTCCATAAGCTTTTGAGTTTTAAATTTTTCTCCCCCTCCCTCCCCACCTTCCTCCTCAAGACATCGAGCAATATGATATAAGCTATACATATACATTCCTATTAAACATATTTTCACATTAGTGATGTTGTAAGGAAGAATTAGAACCAATAGGAGGAACCACAGGAAAGAGAAAACAAAACAAAACAGAAGAAAAAAATAGCAGATAGTATGCTTCAATCTGCATTCAAACTCCATAGTTCTTTCTTTGGATGTGGATAGCATTTTCTATCATGAGACCTTTGGAGATGTCTTACATCCTTGTATTGCTGAGAAGAGCTAAGTCTATCAAAGTTAGTCATTACACAACATGGCTGTTATTGTGTATAACGTTCTTTTGGTTCTGCTCACTTCATTCAGCATCAGTCCATACAAGTCTATGAAAAACTTTTTTGTCTCTCTACATCTCCTCCTCCCACTAAAAGATTTGTAATTCTAAAAATATCATGGGATACACTTGAGCATTTGTGAATGTACAACATGGGTGACACACATTGACAAATAATATCCAGCTACATGATAGAGTGTACATACAGATACCTAATATATGACATTCCTACTAGAACTGTGCAGCTAGCATGAGCACATTTGATAAACATAGTATATTGCATATAATCAATAACACATGTGACAATACAGTATATATTAAACTAAGGGCACATGGTATCACATAACAGAATCATGTCCAGTGACCACATATAAAAACCATGTGCAGAAACATGTATGTACCAAAGCAATAGTGCACTCATAACACTGCATACCACCATATATATCAATGATGTTAAATACAGCAATAAAAGCATATTGCGTAACAAACACAGAAGTCATAAGCTACTCATAACAGCATTCTCCAATTATATACAAAGCATCCTGCTCTACAGTAATTGGCATCATTGGTTCCATGGATGACCACTTCTCCCATTTCTCCTAAAGCATGATATTTGAGCTGAGTCACTGACCTAATAGACCTGGCCCTTCTGTCATGACCTCCTGAGGTTGTGAATGGCCCAGGCTTCCTGTCATCACCCTCAGACCTACTGGGCTATAGTCATGAGCTTCAGCATGGTTTGGGCTATCACCGTCTCCAAGTGTGGGTGCCCCCTATTTCCTAAGTCTCTCTACAATTTGAGTAATAGGCAAATAAGAATATACTTCTGAGTCCAACCCTTCTCCCCAGATTGAAGAGAATTTCTTCTAGGGTCAGGAGAGAATCACTGGACTTTTCTGACCCTATAGCAAGTACCAACACCCAGGTATGTGGGTTTAGGGTATTTTAAACACATGCAGAGATTTCTCCTGAGATCTTGGTTGTTCAATTGAAAAAAAAAAAAAAGAAAAGAAAAAAAAGAAAAAAAAGAAAGAAAAGAACAAGAAAATGAAAAGTATTCTGTGATGTTGGGTGAAAACTAAGGAATAGGATTCTGGGTGAATACAGTCTTGCTCTTGGCTCAAGAATGCACATGTGTAATGGTAATAATTCATGTGACTGTAAACAGTCTAAATAGGCTCATATGATGCTTTCCTTTAAACCTAAAAAAGGCAACACGTCACGTCACCATATTCATTATCTAGTGAGTCACTATAGGTGCCTGTCTGGTTGTATTTCATTAGATTATAAGCTCCTTGAGGGCAGAGACTGTTTTTTTTGTCCCTTTTTGAATCCTCAGCACTTAGCACAGTGCCTGGCCATTGTAGGTGCTAAATAAATGTTTATTGATTATTGATTTACTCAAGCCAGCAACACAGTTGCCTGGGATCGTCTGTCATTTGCGTGCCTAAAAGATTTTCGGTATCCAGTGGCCACTAGAGGGTACTCAGCCTGCAAATGGGCAGGCTGTTCCTATACTGCAGAGCTTATGGGGCATCAAGCTGCTATGCTGGGTAGGTATGGAATTAAACTAAGGAATTAAATGAAATATTTCTCAAAATATTTAAATATAAAATCTATTTTCTAGAGTCCTTACCCCATGTCTGGACTCTTTAAAGCCTCTGTCCTCACCCCATGTCTGGATGGCTTTCGAGCTGCTCCTTCAACTCAACTGTCTTTGGACACCACTCCCCCATGTCCATAGAAAGTCAGATACTTAACACACCATGATCACAAAGTTTATTGAATATAACAACAACAACAACAAAAAAGACAAAGTAAATGATTCACATGTTCCACATGAAGCTATCTCATCAACCTCTCCCCACTTGCCCTCCTAGTTCTTTGGAGGTGGCAGGAAAAAGTCCTTAATTGTTCATAACCACAGATGATAGAAAGGAATATGGGAAGGCAAGGTGTGTGTGTGTGTGTGTGTGTGTGTGTGTGTGTGTGTGTGTGTGTGATCCTATCTGTGGATTATAGAGAGTAGAAAGCAGGGAATAACAGTGAAAGGAAACTGACCTGCCCTCTCCAGTTAGCTCACCAGCCCAGTGGAAATCACAACAGCCAGTCTTGGGACTCAGCATCTTTTAGTCTCCATCTCTGCTCCAGGCTCTACTTCTTCCACAGCAGGAGTCTCGAGCAGCCTCAGTCGCCTGTTATTCAAGTCCCATGCCCTGTTGCTTGCGTTGTTATCAGCAAGTCCTCTTTTCAAAGGTAGTGGAAGAAGAGATAGCTAGTTCTGCATAGCAGTGAATAGGTCTCCTATTACTCCATCCCATCAAGTGGCTTCTTCTCCAAATGGAGTGAGCATGCCATAAACTTCCTTATGAGGGGAAAGATAATCATCAGAAACCACTTTGTTGGTCTTTTTCTCCTCAAATCTTTATTTACCAGGGTCCTAGAGGAAGATAATTCAGACAACAGGATGACGTGCAGGTCACAGATTAACAACTTACAGCTTTAAGATTCACAAAGTAATTTCCTAGAAAGGTCTCTGTTAGGTAAATATTTTACTTATAATACCACTTCTCCACCATTTTAGACACATCAAGGAACTGGGATTTTGCCTAGGCAGCAGGAATATAGGACAAAGGTCATCCTTTCCCTTCCAGTGATACTAAATGCTTCAAAGCTTAAAACTTCAGGGCAATTACCCTGGCCATATACTAGCTTTTAGGAACATGACAAGGACTGAAAGGAATTCAATTACCCTAACCCAATCTGGAATAAAGACAGGGCAGGAAAAGGAGAGGGGGAGTGAGTGTGCAGCAGGGTGTGATAGTCGCCTGGGTGTATCAGCTAGGTGTGGTTGACTTGACTAATGAAAGAACCTAAAACGTGTTGCATTAGTCACCCAAGTATGTTAGCCCAGGGCTATCTCATAGAAGATTCAGGAGGTCTGGGATTTAGGCTGAGCCAAAGAACTCTAGTCATCTTCCTTGTCTTTCTCAGTCACAAGGATATCCAGGAGAAAGATAATGCAAAAGTGGTAGCCAGGGTGGCCATTACAGAAGTCTGGAGCTCTGGGGCAGTGGACTTGTGACTGACTTAAGTGGGGATGGGGACAGAGACTGGAAGATTTCTGGGCACAGCTTTTCTGGAGAAACTTGTAAGTTCAGTACTCCATCTAAAGAGGGGCTCAGGTCTGCTGAAGACCAGTTATCTAGCTCACTTGGGGCCCTCCAATTCTACCTAAACTTCCTAGACTTCTCTGACTCATGGATAATAAGAACAACAGTTGGCATTTATGAAGGCCTTTATGCTTATGTGTGTAGAAAATCTCATTTAATCCTCAAAATTATCCTGCTGAGGTGGAAGGAAAATATTACTACCTCTCATTTTATAGATCAGGAAACACTTCTGAGAGTTAAATAACTTGTTCAAAATCAGTGGCAAAAGTGGGAATCCCAGTTTAGGTCTTCTTTGGTCCACTTAGTCTATGTGTCTTTGACCCTTTACCCTGGAACTATCATGGTCTCTGATAGATGAGCTCTTGCCCAGAACCAGGTGTCCATCTTATTTCTTAGACATTTGCAAGACATGTATAGTTGCCCCTCTCCTTTCTAGCTCCCCTTCATGTGTTATATCTCCCTTCCCTTAGAATGTAAGGTCCTTGAGTACAGGGACTGTATCCCCAGAGCACAGAATATAGTATATAGTAAGAGCTTACTTAACAAATTGCTTGTCATTGATTCGTACATATGTACGGAAATGTATGCATATACAGTATATGCTTCCAGGTCCTGTCTCTGGCCCAGAGAGGAAGACTCCATTAGGTGAGGTCAATTGGGTGACCAAAGAACATGAGAAAAAAGGTAGGTGATTTCAAAAAAACAATGCAATGAAAAAAAAAAAGTGCTATGATTAGGAGGGGAGATTAGGAACTTTGATCACCCAGAGAAGTTCCTCTTGGGCTAGACCTAGAGCATCCTACTTTGGGGGTATAAAGGTCACAACTGAGGCCTCTTCACCTTAGTCTCCCTGGGGACTAGAGTTCTGGAGTGCTAAGAAAGAGAAATGTGGATGTGGAGAGACTAGGGGACCAGAACTCAAGGGCAGGATATCAAAGAAAGGAGAAGGAACTAGTGACCTGAGAATGAGTGGATCCTGCCATGAATGATCTGGGCCTGGGAGATCCAGGACAAGGGAATCCAGGACAGAAGGATCTGGAACGGGAAGAGGGGGAACTAGGGGATTCAGGCCCCAGAGAATCAGACCCTCCTGACTCTTGCAGAAGTCGTGACAGGTCCTCCACCAGGTGCCATTTTTCCCGTACTTGCTAAAAGGAGAGGCAAGGAATGGGCATTCAGATGAAATGGTAATTAAGGAATGAAGTCCTGCTTAATTTCCAACTCAGGCCATGACTCCAGACTAAGATCCACCCCCTGTCCATGGTCCCAACCCTAGCTCATCCCCTGCCTCAGAACCCCTCCCTCCCGTGCCCGCCTTCCACTGCACTCACCCATAGTAGCTGTCTCCTAAGACCCTTGATGGCCCTTTTGTTGGCCCCGGATTGGGAGAGGCACACAGTCAGTGTAAGGCTTTGAGGAAATGGGGGAAACCGAGAGTAACAAATCTTAGGCTTCATTCAGTCCTAGACGAAGCTTCCCTTCCCTTGGCTGCTTTCACCTCAGCCCACTACCTCCCTGCCGCAGCACACTCCGCCCCCAGCCCCCATCTGAAGTCATTCTAAATCTCCAGGTGCTGATTTGTATCATATAAACATACTTTATAGTCAGGATAATGGACCACTCTTTCCTTTCTCTCAATGGTCCCTGACTTCTCTCTTCAGCAGGGTCAAAATCAACCCAAAGGGGCATTTGGGAGCAACAGTCTACAAAATATAGGTAAGCCTCACCCTTCTCATCTCTTCCCAATTATTTACAAAGTATTGAGTGGCACTAAGCCACAATTTTAAGATTTGGACTTATTTCTACAGCAAAGAACATTTTGCATGACTTTTTTTTTTTTTAATGATTATAGGATCATAGATTTAGACCTAGAAGGTTACTTTAGAGACTATTCCTCATTTTACGGATGGCTAAACTGAGGCCCACAGAAGAAAAGGGAAGGAAGAGGAAGTTTCTAGTGTTCTCTCATCTCTGGTCTCCAGGTGGTGCATATGTAAATCAACATCAGGGTAGCCAGCATGGTAAGAATAAATAATGAAAACTGTCACTAGTTAGCTTGATTGGCAGCTCACAGAGCCAGTGATCTTCATGAAAAGAAGGAGGAAAATCCTCAGACTCTTTTCCAGTCTCTGTGTTTCCTATCTTCACACATATTAGGCTGATTTTACTCATTCATTCATTTAAAGCCCATGTACCAAGCACCTACATGTACAGAGAACAGTGCTAGGCACTAGAGAAAATAGAATATTTAGATAAATCAATTCTAGCTGTCATGGATGTACTAGTTTCCAGGTGCATTTGCTTGCTGTCCTTTGGCTCCTGCACCCCTCCCCACCTTTGATCCAGGGGTAGTACCTAAGTAAGATGAGGACGGGGTACCAGAAGGCATTGGAACCAAGGTAGTGAAAGACTTTCTGGGCTGATGGTGAGAGTCGCAAGGCCACTGCCTCTGGAACCACCTGCCAGGGTACTGAGTAGTTGGAGAAGAGACCGCAGTTTACAGAGGAGGGAATGCTGCAGGGGAAAGGGTAGAGAAAGAAGATCAAGGAGGCTGGAGCAAGACAGATGCCCCCATAAGGGATATTCCTACCCCTGAGACTTCTTACCTGCTGATGACATAGAGCAGAGGCACAGAGGCCACGAGGAGGCCCAGCAGGAGGACCAGCTGGAAGAAGAAGGTGGCGCTGGAGGCTTGGAAGAGGCGACGGGGGGGCTTGCAGTTCCTGAGGAGAGTGTACTGTTGGGAGGTGAGAGAGGAGAGATTATGCAGGATGCCTCTCCCAGATTTAAAAGTCAGAATGTTCATAACCCAATGTTTACTGTGACTTCCCTGCCCAATGTCTTCACATTTGCTAAAGCACCACAGCCTGTAAAGCTGGCTTCTCTCTTCTGCTAAGGGGAAGATTCTTGGCTAACCATCTCTTCCAGAGCCATAACTAGGGTTGAGCAACTGGGGCTTTGCTCCAGGGAACCAATATGGGGAAGTTGTACTTCGTCTCCACTGTTGTCTTGGAAGGGCCCTCCTCCTACTTCCTTTTTCCTGTCCTGTTACCTCCTAGGGTCTGAGCTTGAGCAGTACTCTCTGGGAGACAGTACAACTACAACAGAGTACACTGTTCTTTCTGCCATATGAACACTTATTTCTCAATTTAATTTAGTCCAGGAAAAAAATTTCTAGTTTAAGTTCTTATTTCCCCCTGGCCTTAAGGATAGCTACCTAGTCATATATCTCCTCAGAGCTCCTGCCTCAAATTTACTTGATCTTTATATGTTTCTCTACTTTCCTTTCCTTTCCCCAGCTAGGTAGCACAGTGGATAGAGCTCTGGGCCTGGAGTCGGGAAGACACTGAATTCTAATCATGTCTCAAATACTAGCTGTGTTACCCTGGGCAAATAACTTAATCTGTTTGCCTAGTTTCTTCAACTGTAAAATGGAGATAACAACCCACCTTGCAGGAGAATCAAAAGAGATAATATTTATACAATGCTTAGCACTTTACACTGGAACCTAGTTGGTACTGTATAAATGCTTATTCCCTTTTCACTAATGGCTTCTTACCTTCTTGACATAAAAGGTGAAGAAGATGAAGATGCTGCTGAGCAGAGGCAGTAGGGGGCAGTAGAAAAGTCCCATCCAGGTGATCGTCTGTCCAGCTACAATGTCCAGCACATTTTTGGGTACCAGAAATTCTTCTCTGCCCAGCCAGACCCAGAACTGGCCTGAAAGATGATCTACCAGCAGCCTGAAGTGAGGTGGGGAACAAGGGTACCACTGAGTACCCCCTAGGCATCACACATGCAAAGAAGTAAGAGATGCTCATCTCTTACTTAAAATTGTGGAACTGCAGCACGTCAAAGCTGAAAGGAGAGGACTAAGGCCCAATGGGACGAAGCACTTGTCCAAGGTCAAAAAGGCATCTACAGACAGCACAGAGTTTCCTGTGGGCAGCCCATATACCATCATATTTTTCTCATGATTTTGCACATACATTCCCTCTTTGGCTCTGTCCGTCTCTGTTTCCCTCCTTCCTTCTCTCCTTCCTCCTTTTTTTTTTTTTTTTTTTAGTGAGGCAATCAGGGTTAAGTGACTTGCCCAGGGTCATACAACCGGTAAGTGTCAAGTATCTGAGGCTGGATTTGAACTCAGGTCCTTCTGACTCCAAGGCCGGAGCTCTATCCACTGCACTACCTAGCTGCTCCCTCCTTCCTCTCCTCTTCCCTCCCTCTTTTCCTTCCTCTGCTTCCCTCTTTCTCTTCTACTCTTCCTCTGTTCTCCCTCTCCCTTCTTTTCTTCTTCTCTCTCTCCCCCTTCTTTCATTCCTCTCCCCTTCCTTTTTCTCTCCCTTTCTCTTTCCCTCTTTTCCTTTGTCACTCCATCCTTCTCTCTCTTTCCCTCCCTCCATCTCTCCCTACATACACTAATCATAGATATATATACATTTTGAATCAGATTTGTGATGCATATATATACTCATATAAATGTGGATTTATACCTACCCATATTTATACAGGTAAATACTGAGTAATCACACATACACACTCTATTCCCATCACTCTCTCTAGCCCCTGACACATTTTCCTGAGCCTCTTTTTCCTTGTCTCCCAGAGCAATGATGACAGGGTAGGATAAGGAGATGAGGTTTCTTACCTCCTTGGCAGGGTGATCAAGAAGGCAAAGGCCAGCATGAGGAAGAAGTCAAATATGCTCAACTTGTATAACTCCTGACCCACTGAGTTCTCCCAGCACTAGAAGTAGAAAACAGAGAGGACCCCAGTGACCCACCCCCTTTTCTACACTGTTATCTTGCCTATCCCCCTTCCACCCTCTAGAAAAGGGGCACCCAAGGAGCGCTACACTCACTTGTAGTCTGATGTTACATTCCCAACCCTGACGTCAAGGATCTGATTGGTCTGGTCAGTGATGGAAAAAGGAGGGGAGATCTGAGCCTCAGGTGTCATGCCAAAATACAAAATCTCTAAAGGAGGCCGGGGGAGTCAAAAGAAAAGGTCTAAGAACTGAGGGGAGCATAAAGGCTGGACCTGAGTCCGGTCACTGACCAGTGGTGATGCCTAACTTCCCTGGCTTCTGAGGGAAAGGCAGCAGCACCCCAGTTTCCCCTCCACCTCAGCCGGAGGTGCTTGTCACCTGGTCACATTGATTATAATCATGGGGCTCACAGCTGGAATGGTCACTTCTGCCAGTACATAGCACTGCTTGCTGTCTCAGTGAAAAAAGGAACATGCCCAAGCTAGACAGCTTCAGAACCACGCACCTGTGGAAATGCAAGTCATAGTGTGAAGAGGAGGAAATCTAGCCTGTGGGTACCCACTGAATGTCCAGGTCATTAAGAGTGAGTGAGCACAGATCTAGGGATCTAGGTGAAGTCAGGGTGGTCCTTCAGAGGCCTACCACGTCTGAGAATGAGACCACCCTTCTCAACTTTTAGTGACCCTCTGACTTTGGAAAGAGTTGGTTCCTAGACCCACCTCTGAGATACTATTTTCCTGGAGGATCTGGTTTTTTTTTTTAATTTTTAAATTTTTACTTAAGCAATCAGTGTTAAGTGACTTGCCCAGGGTCACACAGCTAGTATCAAGTGTCTGAGGTCAAACTTGAACTCAGGTCCTCCTAACTCCAAGGCTCCACTGCGCCACCTACCTGTCCTCTGGAGGATCTCAAGGAAAGAAAGTCTCAGGGTCTGGGCCTCATAGGAGGGATTCAGATCAACAGATCACATGGATATGAACATACAAAATTGTAAGAAATGCCACATTGGGTCATACTCATGAGTCTCTGACCATGGCACCCTGGGGTGTTTGGTGGGAGAATAAAGCAGCTGTTATTTATGAAGCCAGACTCTCAAGGATTATTTCCAAGAAATGAGAAGCTGTGATGAATAGCCCTCTCCCCAGTCATGCTGGTATTATGGCAGAGATAAAGTCCTTTTCCATATGTCAGATACTAATACATATACTCTTAATTGTTAACATGTGGTAAGGGACCAGACAAGATAGTCCTGGGAAGATGTATGAACAAGGAGATAAAGTATACATTAGTCAGACAGACTGAGGAGAGCTGGGGCATGTTAAGCAATATGCCTAAAAATATGAGTTGGTTAGGACTTGTTCAACTTCCTAGAAAACCCCAAAGGAAAGGACCTTGTTTCCTCAGCATCCAGTAGAGCTGAGAGAGGACGGCTCTTGCTTGTGTTGAATACAAAAGTTTGAGCATGAGACAAATTTATCAGAGAGGCAGGTAGAGAAAGACAGGTTGGGCAGGGCCAAGCTTGGAAAATTGGACAGAAACAATTTAGAACTCAAGAAAATCCTGAGTACAATTTCTACTTTAAGCCAGATCCGTTTGTTCTCTAATTCTACCACATAACTAAAATTTTCTTCTATGTGTTATGTTTGTACCCTCAGATTCCTATGATCAAGTAGTTTCCTGTTACAATAAATAGGTGGTTGAGCATAACATGGCGATGATTACCACTGAGGAATGCAACTGAAAGAAGTGAGAGAACTGAGGTGCTAAGGTTACAGTCTAAAAAGGAGATCCTTTCTTTAGATCCTTGGGTGAGAGCAGGCATGAATTCAGGGAGCCTCTTTTTGGAGGTCTCTCTGGCTTTGGCCTAAAGATAGACCTGTTGGACACCAACATTTCAAACTCAAGCTCAGGGGTCTTATCCTTCCTTACCAAAGTAGTACTGACCAGAAAAGGGTGAGATTGATCTCGGTGTTGGGGGGATAATTCTCCATTTGGACCAGGAATCCAAACAACAGAGGCCCCAGAGTGTTGACAAGGGAAATGACTCCAGGGGACAGGTACTGAAGCAGCAAAGAGAGGGACTCCTAGGAGAAGAAAGGGATGAGGAGTTTAAGATAGGATAACTTGGGAAGCAAGATGCCCTGTAGGATGAGAGGACCCACAGAAGGCAGACAAAGGAGGAAGGGAGGGGATGCCTCATACTTCCATATTATAAAAATTCATTGCGTGGCTACACCTTTCACTAATTCAAATTGCAATCGCTTCCATACCTCAGTAGAAGGTCTTCAAGGAATTGCTGTGGTCTCCCGCCCCCCTCCAAAAAAAAAGTCGGCACTCTGGTAATGATTCTATCCAAACCTAGCTAGTCTTTTGACAACTGATACAGACTCTGCCAGTTTGGGAGGACCTTTCACAGCATGAGCTTTCACGGCATAGCTTTCAAGAATCCTGGTTTGAATCCATGCCACGATGAAGTATTACAGGGATTAAAGCGGGAATCCCCCATAATTATATTATCATGTAATATTCTGGTCATCCTCAATGGAGGCTGGTTTCCAGAAGAGGAGTGGGCTTAACAATGGACCCTCATGAAGAAGGAGAAGACCATTACTCACATCTTTGTAGTTCTGAGAGAACTTGGTGGCCCAGTAGATGGCACTGATACCCCCAACCACCAAGAGTCCGATGAACATGTTGATTCCCACATAAGAAAGAAGCTGTCGGGCCCTTTGCTTTCTCGTTTGCTGCTGCATCTGCAGGAAGCGCTGCTCCTCTTGGAGCTCAATCTGAAATGGGGACATAAGATGATAAAAGTGGGCGGGGGGTTAGGGTTGGGCAAGGATGGGGACCGCTGCAGAGCAAACAAAAGGATTGTATTGTATCTCATATACGCCCATGGTCAGAAATAATTGAGGGGATGAACAGGAACAGAAAAGAATCATGTTTAGGGCTGGTATAGAGATATGTTAGAGATAACTACAAGTGAGGAATAGGAGTAAGATCCTGGTGGGGACGTGGGCAGATGCAGCATCTCCTTGCTGTATAATACTAATATGTATAATCCTAGTACTAATACCCAGCTCTGCACACCATGCAAAGCCTCTCATTGTTGCAGGTTCTTCACCACCACTACTCTCCCTAAATGAATTGAAGGCACATTTCCTGCTGCTTACCTTGAGAATATTTTATGTCTTTTGCGCAGATGCAAAAATCACTAATCATATTCTAAGAAATCAAAACCTCCCTGTTGCGTGTGGCCTCTAGCTCTGGAATGCTCGGCCTTCATCAAGAACCTTCATTTCATGTATACCCAGGCTGAAGTATTTGGGTGGATTAGCCCTCTCCACCGCTTCCCTCATAAGCACTGCCCTCTCCATCCTGTCAAAGCCAGGGACCCCAGACGTGGCACCTTGAATTCGTTGCTGATGCTGTGTTGCTTGATGATGGCAGCTTCCCGGCTTTGGATGCAGAAATCCCAGGAAACAAACACCTTGCTGCTGAGTCGGGGCCTGTAATCCTTGCTCAGCAGTTGCTTTTGGATCAGCCCCTTCACCATGCTAGATAGAAGAGGTATGTATGTATGCATGCATGTGCATGTGCATGTGTCTTGGGAGCTGGGGGAAGAAAGGAGGCAGAACAGTGCTCCAGATCCTCTCAAGCCCTATTGCCCCAGGACTTTGTCTTCTCTTCTGTAGACCTCCAGGCAGTCAGTCTGTCAGCCCCAGAGACTAAGAGACTCCTGGTCACAGCCCTTCCCTGACCACTGAACAGAGAGAGATGGGGAGGCATACAGAGGAGGAGACAGGGCCCTTGCATTCAGGGGGTTTGTAGCTGGAGGTCCATAACATCCCTTTGGTCACTGAGCAGCCTGGAAAAGATGCCAACAGGCACAAATGAATTTGGTCTAAAAGATTAATGGCTACATGGAGCTAGCTTTTCGAGAAGAGAAGGAACCTATATCTGGAGTGGGAGGATGGAGAAGTGGATAGGGAACATGAGTTCTAATCTCACCGTCGTACAATCTCACAGAAGCAGAGGAGCAGGCAGGTTAGTGGACTGAGGAGGTAGGCCAGGCGAACACTGTACTGGGAATCACTCTCTGGCCCCATTCGATATGAACCATAAAAGAGGTAGGTGTTGCTGAGAGCCTGGGGAAAGGGTGTACAAGGAAGGACAGACCTGATCTCAGAGACCAAGAGGTTTTTCCTCCTTATCCCTTAGCCTAATCATGATCTCCCTCTCCCAGTCAGACTTTGGGCAGAGTGTGATTTTCATTTTTGTTTGCTTTTTTTTTTTGGCTAGGCAATGGGGTTAAGTGACTTGCCCAGGGTCACACAGCTAGTAAGTGTCAAGTGTCCGAGGCTGGATTCGAACTCAGGTCTTCCTGACTCCAGGGCCAGTGCTCTATCTACTGCGCTACTAGCTGCCCCAGCAGGGTGTGATTTTTCTTAGAAGATAAGAAGATACATGTACAGGGGCCCATGGAGTAGCCTGATCTTTTGTTGAGTGTTAAGAAAGATGAGAACATTCCGGCCTGAGCCTCTGGACAAATTGGCCCTGCCTAGAAATATGTCTATGCTTTTTTGGCCACCCTCACCCAATATCCCCAAAAGATTTGGGGGCTCAATTTGTTAGCCTAAAGCTGTTTTCACCTAGATTTCCCTTCTCCCACTTTCTCTGCACTCCTTTGTTCAGACAAAGTCACACTCACCCTGCCAGTGAAGACATCCCACAAGTGCAAATGTATTTGGCTCAGATCAGGCTGGGGCTCACGGCTGGTAGGGCAATGGTATGCTGGAGAAAGAGGGGCAGGTTAGGTAGAAAGTGGTGCATAACTAGGGTAGAGCAATCAGGGCTTTGCTCCAGGATGACGTAATTTAGGGAGTGATGACAATACTTAACAGTCCTTTAGCAATGTAGAAACAACTGAGGTTAGCATCTAGGTAGTTAAAAAAGGAAGTTACTAGAGTGTGGCTCTTCCTTCCCCAAATCTAGCTACCCCTCAGATAAGCTTCTCCTTAGCCTGGCTCTACTTTGTTCCCCTCTCCTCAGAGGCCTCATGAAGTCTGTGCCATGAAGTGTCCAAACTATTTATCCCAAACCCTCTCCATACAACTGAATTTGTCATAATAAGTTGATTTAAGGATACATTTTGTGCTGTTTGCCCTGGACAAAAAAACTGCTAGTTTGGGCTCTGAGTAGAATGGCAGAAGCTTTTAAAAATTTTCCCAAGGTCACACAGCATCCTCACCTCCCCACTTTTCTAATATCATCTCACCAGTTCACATCTCTCTTAGCTCAAAGGAAGTAGAAGAAAGTTGAGCAGGAAAAGCTGATTATCATAGATTACTGAAAAATGCTTGGGCTAGGCAGGACCTTAGAGCAACCCCCTCGTTTTATAGTTGAAGGAATTGAGGAATCGAGGCCTAGAGAGGTAAAATGATTTGTCTAAAGTTATACAACTAGTTAACACCAGGGCCAGAGCTTGAATGTGAGCGTCCTAACTACAATTCTGTATTAGATCATGTTGCCCTTTGAGCTGAAGAGATGTTATCATTTGTTCAGTCTCATGCCTAGTTGCTCAGGTATATGGGGACACACGGTAAGATGCAAAGCAAAGTGCTAATGAGGTCTCCTCCAAGGACTGTTCTGATCTGCTGTATCTGGATTGCTGGGGCCTCTGAAACTAGTGGGAGCTGTCAGTGAGATGGTACAGTGGGTGAAATGTTCAAATCTTGCCTCAGATACTTACTAGCTGTATGACCCTGGGCAAGTCACTTAACTTGTTTGTCTCAGTTTCCATATCTATAAAATGAGGATTAATAATAGCACCTATACATAAATAATAGCACATGCACTTGTAAGTTTGTGAAGATGAAATGAGAAAATAATTATAAAGTGCTTAGAGCAGTACCTGGCACATAGTGAGCACAATATACATTATTATTATTATTTATTATTACCTGGGCAGGATAGAACCATCATCCCTCAGAAGGCTAGACCAATTCCCATAACTTGGGGTCACTAGACAAACATTCTTATGGTGGGCAGTTGATGTTATTTTCCTTGGTGCTACTCACTACAGATCAGCTACAAGGTGGGACCTTCTCCCCTCCCCTCCTCCAAATGCTTCTTAACCACTGGGTATTTGAATAAATGCCCTCATACCCTCTGCAGGGGTTCTTAACCTGAGTCTCTTTAGTTTGTTTTTTAAAAAATATTTTGATAATTACATTTCAATATATTGTTTTCCTTGGTAATCCAAGTAATCCGATATTTTATTTATTTCTTCAAAGGTTAAGCACTTCTGTATTAGGGTGATTTGATCTTAGCTAGGGGGATGTGTGGAGGGGAAGCCGATATCCTCCCCTCCTAGCTCCCTACCAAAGCAGGACACTCCAGAGTGGACCAGGCCAGGGAAAATAGAACCTGGGGTCAGGGATTGGGAACTGGACCCGGGGAGCTGAAGCAGCTACTCACAGGTGTTGGGGGCAGGGCCTGGGTCAGGTGAATGGAGCCAGGCCAGAGGCAGCAGCACCAAACTGGAGGTCAGCAGAAAGGCGAGCAGGTTGAGGACCAACAGGAAACGAAGGAAAGTGAAATAGGACCGGATCCCTGTGCCAAAGAGCCCTGTGGAGCAAAGGAGTGGGGAAGATGGTTTGGAACAGATAGGGTGAGGAGCCCAGGGACTTGCAGGAGCCAGCTCTACTTCTGGAGAGCTGATGGTTAAATTTTCAGTGTGAGCATTGACACCTCTGAAATCATGCTACACAAATCAGGGATTGATTTATTGTTTTGTTGACTGGCTAGACTTCAGAAAGTGAGGGAGAAAATGTTAATAATTCACATTAAACTGAGAAGTATGTCATACGAATATTATATCCCACACCCCCAAGCTGGTTGTTAAATATTTACCAACTCATCTTTGGGTAGAAGCTAGTGCAATGGGTAGGGCTTTTCATATTGAGCTGTTCAGATAACTGCTCCCTACAAAGCATGTGTATATGGGAAAGAGAGTATCAGAAGAGGTGGGATTTGAACCCCTGTGCCTCCTTTAGACTAAAGCCCTTTGAGAAGCCCTGGGTCCCTGAAGACCCATACCTGTTACTCCTTAGACTGAGGATGGCAGGGGCATTTGGGGGGTTGGGGGAGAGGGTACAAAGGCATAGAGCTGGCCAAGGACTGAGCTCCACATGCAACACTATCACCTGAGAGGCATCTAAGCTTCATGATGACAGAGACCACCTATAGCTAAACTTTGTATCTCTCCCACTCCCAGTGCCCAATACTGAGCTCCACACACAGAATGCACTTAGTAAATGTTTGTTGTTATTGCTGTTGTTGATTGGGATAGGGGTGTATAAATCCCAGACAGCATCACAGTATGGCCACCCTTATTTTTATGCTGGGTGACACAAGATTAAAATAAGTAGGAAAGGTCACCCAAAAGGGCAAAAAGGGAGGGGGCCCCAAAGCATAAGTTCAAGTTGGGGGGAGGGAGAAGAGGAGACAGGGAAGCCAGAGAGAGTAGTGGCAATTCACCTACTTGTTTTAGGTCTTTGGAGCATCAAGTCAGTCCTGAAGGTTACTTCCCTTAGTCCCAGCAGCAGGCCTGGGCCATAGCTCCTATGGGCAGCTTCCCTCAGGTTAATTGGTGGGGATTTGAAATGAGATTGGGCTGGGAGCACAGCTCCTCTCACTGGATCCAGAATAGCCACCCAGAGTTTTTCTTGCCTAAGGGGGTTAGCTGTCTTGGGAACCCACTGGAAGGAGTGGATTGGCAGGAGTCAGACTGTGCCTCCATAAATCTGGAATTTGATCAATAGGACCTATGTGATGTTGCCACATCGTGTTCAGAATTGGACATTGAGACTACCCTATCTGACTGTGATGGGCAGGGGTGGGGGGAAGACAATTAAAAGTATTATGGAGGGCTTTTGTTTTTGGAAGGGGATCCTACCTCCAATCTCATAGAGGTCAGTCTTCCAGAGCCCAAAGGTCCCCATAAGCCTGTGGCTCACATCCAGGAACTGCTGATGGACACGTTGCCATTTCTTCTTCCACTGTTCCCAGAAAGAGGTCTTTACCCCATCTGGCTCCCGGAGGTGCCTGGGAGAAGGGGATGGTGGTGAAGGGGGCATCTCTAAGTTCTAGCTTCTTGCCTCTCACCTCCCTATGCTCTCTACCCACTTTCAAGACAAAGGAGGGTTCTGAAATTATTTGGCATTGGAAGGAGGCAAGAGAGGGATGATTACATTCCGCATGATTCCTCTAGATAAACGTTATCTTTTAGCAAAAAATCAGCTACTTGTTCCCTGAATGTGACATTTTATTTCTTGCTTCCACACATCATTGGAATAAGCCATCTGCCATCTGTAGAATGCAGTCCCCCCTCATCTCTGCCTCTCAGAAGCTTTCTCTTCCTTCAAGGTTAGTTACTCAGGGGTCAACTCCTTCATGAAACTTTTCCTGATTTCCATTTATTTATAATCTCTCACCTTAATTCTCCTGGTACACATAAGATCATGGAGCTAAAACTGAAACACCTTCACTTAATAGTTTGAAGAAAATGGCTTGCCCAAAGACACAAAAGTAGTAAGTGGTGGAATTTGAACCCAGCTCCTCTGACTTTAGAATTAATAATTTTTCCATTGTCACACAATCCTTTTCTGTTGTATCCCCTCAGCAGAACATAAGCTCCTTGAGCAAAGTGACAGCTTTGTTTTTGTCTCTGAGTCTCCAGGGCCTTGCCCACAGAAGGTTCCTAATACAGCAAGGTCTTGATACATTTCAATAATGAAACCCCTAAAATGGTTACCTTGTTTGAATTTGTCCTACATATTTCCAATGGGCTGGAACCAATTGCCATATTTTATACAATTATATCTTTGAATGGTGCAAATTCAAATCTATGCAGGGGATTTAATATTCATACTAATTAGGACCTAGCCATAAATGTTTATTGAATTGAGCCGGCTGGTCATCTCAGGATCGGTGTCACAAGTTTGTTCCTCTATTCTCTGTTTCTTTACCTATCCCCCACCCCTCCGCACCATATTCTTTTTTTTTTTCTCAGATTCCTTCATCTAAGCTTTCTGAACAGCCCCTCCACTTTCCACCCATGCTGGAGACGCATGCTAATGAATAGCAAAGCCTCTCGGGCACTATCCCTGCTTCTGCCAGGAGGTTCCCTAGAAAACCCACCTGATGAGCCGTTTGTCCATCATGGCATAGGGCAGCGCCTGTAGTGGTACCTTGGTGCTGCATATTCTCTCCATCTCCTCCTCCCAGAGTTCTTCACCCAGTGATTCAGGAGGTTCTATGTCTGATTGGGTAGACCTCTGCCTTAGGAGGAAAGAGGCCATCTCTGTGGAAGCCTTGACCCCAAAGGATGAATATGCTCTGAGTACTCACCTGAGGAGTAGATAGAGAATAGGATTAATTTCAGGGTTTTGGTACTGTCATGAAGAGAGCAGGTTGGAAGAACTAAGGGTCTAAGGGCAGGGAATCATTCAAGAAACATTGACAGAAGTTCCTCATAGGGACCAATGAAATTGGTTATACCAATGAGATTATAGGTCTAGTTAAAAAAAAAAAGTCACCTGGACACAAATACCTAACACCAAGATCCATTCCCCCCAAAATAAATAGTAAAAAAATATGAAGTTTTCAAAAGATTCACAAACTATAAGTGACCACATGAAAATATTCTCCAAATCATTAATGGTAAAGAGAAGTTAAAATTAAAACAACCCTGACTCCATGAAAACTGGCAAAGATGAAAAAAAGATGAGAATAGTTAATGTCAGAAGACTGACACTGTTGCATTGTTGGTGAAGCTTTAAAGTGGTCCCATAATTCTGGAAATCAGTGTGAAATTATGCAAGAAAAGTGACCCTTTGACTGAACAATTCCTTGCCAACTCAAACACCAGCTGCTAACCTCCACCAACAAGTAGGTGAGCCTAAGAGTCCCCAAAGTGCAGTGCTCCTCAGACCACTGCTCATGGTTCTGCCTGGCCCCAGCAGTCAGTATCCCAAGATGTCATTGTCCCCTTGGAGATTCAAACTGGTGACTGCTTCTATTGGTGCTTTTTGACCCCTCCTTCCTCAGCAGCTACAGCTATAGAAACCTAGAAAACAAAGTTCTTCCATGAGAGTCTTTGGCACTGTTAACTAGCTCAACATCAGAATAGGATATTATTTGACCAGTAGAACTAAGATGAAAAAAGAGGCATTACATCTGCTTTGCTGCTACATTCTAATGAACTATCTGTCTTACACCTGAAACCTTCCGTGTGTGGCCTTCCTCATTAGAATGTGAGCTACTTTTTATTCATACAAAAATATTTCTAGCAGCTTTTTTTGTAGTGACAAAGAACAGGAAACTAAGAGGATGCTCTTAGGAATGGCTGAACTAATTATGATCTATAAATGTAACGGCATACAATTGTGCTGAAAGAAATGACGAAGGGGATGGTTTCAAAAAAATCTGGAAATACTTGTGTGAACTGATATAGAATGAAGTGAGCAGAAAGAGAACAATTTAAATAACAGCAACATCGTAAAGGTAAACAACTGTGGAAGACTTAAAATCTTTGACCAAACACTGGTCCAGAAGATTCATGATGAAACATGCTAGAATAATGGAACTCACAGTGCAGATTGAAACATATTTTTTGGACACGGTGAATGAGAGAATTTGATTTGCTTGACTATGCATTCTTGCTACAAGTGATTTCTTTTTCTTTTTCATGGGGGAGGGGGTAGAAGAAGGGAAAAAGAGAACATTTTGTTCATTGAAAGAAATTCAATTTGCAAAAAAAGAATGTGAACTCCTTGAGAGCAGATCCCACCTTGCTGTTCCTATTTGTATTCCTGATGAAGTCTAGAGGTTTAGGGTTGCTGGAGCCCCAAAATCACGACACACGAGTCCTGCCTGAAAGAATTCGACCCACGCCTTCTTCAGCCAAATACGAGGTTTATTAAAGATCTGCCATATTGGTCAGACTCTTAAGGAATCTGAGCTATTGACTAGATTGTAAAAATCTAAACAGTGGCTAGATTATAAGAATCCGAGCATCTTAATGGAGACAAGATGTACCTTATATACAGAAAGACTATGGGAGAGATCTAGGAGTGGCCAAGTAGTCTATGAGGTAATAGAATGCCAGGGACCTGGACCACATGGCCAAGGGAGAATGGAGCCTAGCTAGGGTTAAGGGTGGGAAATGGCAGGGGGCCATAGGGAGGTAAAACAATGGAGGGCTAGGTTAGGTTAAGGGTAACAGAGAACTGGGGAGATTGGGTTTAACCACAACGAAAGGCCAGTTGATGGGATTATAGCCTCAGGCAAACGCCAGAGATTTGACCGTGTGGGAAAGTCCAGGATTTTTCCTTTTTGGGGTCTAGATCCCATCCTCATCATTCCCAATGCTCAATAAATGCTTAATAAATGCTTTGTCAGGGGCAGCTAGGTGGCACAGTAGATAGAGCTCTGGCCTTGGAGTCAGGAGGACCTGAGTTCAAATCTGGCCTCAGACACTTGACACTTACTAGCTGTGTGACCCTGGGCAAGTCACTTAACCCCATTGCCTAGCCAAAAAGCAATAAATAAACAAATAAATAAACGCTTTGTCTTTCATTCATTCCTTCAGTCAATCCCCCTATTGGGCATACGTCCCAAGGAACTCAAGTACAGTAATGGACGTCCCATCCATATATAACATGATATTCCTAGTAACCCTTTTAATATAGTAAAGAACTAGGGGGAAAAGTGGGAAATGGCTAGAAAAAACCTATGACATATTAATACAATGAAATATATTGTACAGTAAGAAATGACATGAGGAATTCAAAGAAATGTAGGAAGGTGTGTTCGAATTGGCACAGAATAAAATCAGCAGAATCCAGGGAATACTATCAATTCTGACAACATAAATGGAAAGACATTAAAAGGAAACAACTCTTGAGCTGTGCCTGGCACATGATAGGTGCATAAATGCTTATTGCCTGACTGACAACAGAAACACCAGTGAAGGTCATGGAGAAGAGATAACAAAACAGACCTGCTTCTCCCAAAGGACAGCCATTTGAACCCCAGCCATTACAGTGATCCCTCAATGTCTTTTCTTTCTCTGTACTTCTCTACCCCTGCTTCCACTATATGTGCAGTTTAGAATTTTTATAACTGTGCCAACTTTCCTTCGTGAACCGTATGCATGCATTTGTAGTCATATTGGCAAATTGAAACCAGTTCTTCTTAATATGAGGATCCATATTAAATTCTTATCCTCTATCCTGACCTCTATCTAAGTGAATATTCATAAGTAGAATCCAAGGGGAAACTATAGTTTCTTATTGTTCTCCCTTGAGGATCAAGTCTTTAGGTCTTTGCTCTTGGCATCACATAAACTAGAGACTAACTAACTAGTTAGAAATTAGTTAGGATACTTTGTTTTAACTATTACCTATGCAATTTCATTATTTTTTGCCTTAATTCCTAAACTGTTTGAAAGACCTGACTGTTTCCAAAACGGAAATTTTCTCTGTCACTAAGAGAGGCTTCAATAAGGAAGGAGATAGGAAATGATTGTGATGCAAATACAAAAGGTATCAGTAAAACTTTCTCTTTTTTTCTATTTTTAGAAACTTTTTTTAAAGAAAGTCACCAACTTTAAGTTGAGGAGAAAGGGCTTTGGAACTCTAATACAGACAACAATAGGTAATATTAATCAAATTCAGGAGGCAATAGATAAATAGGAAACCCAGGATTCCCATGGGCAGCAGGATTTGGGGTCTGCCCTTTGGATGAGGGCAAGTTTCTTTCTACTTCCATGACGCAATTTTCCTTTTTAGGGGTGGAAACTTAGGTACCCTGAGAAAAAGGCCACAGATACAAGGGACCTGGGTAACATTGTAGACGATGTAGAGTCTTGGGTTCTCAAAATATCAGGAACCCCTTTATTGAGAGAGGCCCACACTTCCCAGGTCCCGCCTTTGCTTGTCTTTCCACCCCTCTGACTTCTCCCACATTAGTCTCTTTCTAAGGGTAAGGAAAATGGAGTGAACTGAAAGTTACCTTCCTGCACTACTGACCTCCCCTGTCCAGATCCTTTCTTTACCTCTGCCAGCTGAAAGCATATTTTCTTTTTGCACAGTTATGCCACAGAAAGCATCTTAAACTGAAGTAAGCGTATTTGAGACTTAGGTGAGGGTTTCTTTGTCCCCAGATCAAAGGTAGATTTGCTCTGATCTGACCATGCTGGGGGTCCTAAACTTTCCTTCTGCCTACCTCACAGTTCCTTCTGCACAACCTGAGCAGCCCCTCTTCTAATAACTCCCTTCAGAGTCCCTTGTCCCCATACTCACAGTGTTTGTTGCGTTCCTTGCCTGATGCAATGCCTCTCTCTCTGTGATGCATGTCTACTTTACTCTACTGAACTGATAGTAAGCTGGGGGTGGGGGAAGGTGAGGGTGGAAAGTGGGGACAGGGGAGCATCACGTGACAGGAACAACTTGCCCCTGGGCCCCAGCTTTGTCTCTTTCCACAGTCCCCCTGCCCTCCCCCTCTAGTTTCCTCTGTAGCTAAACCCAGACATAGAGACTGAACAGAAACTAGAGAGGAGGGGAAAGCTGTAATTCATTTCCTCTGACAAAGTTAAGTGAATAAAAAGCGTTTTGCCTTAAAAGATTCAGTGGAGGAACGGGTAAGGTGAGTAGCAGGGAAAAGGAGTAGGACTGTCGGGGGCAAGAGAGGTTGCATGGCAGGGCTATGCAGCCTAGGGCTGGGTTGTGTAAAGGAGAAAGAAAGGTTAATTTTCATAGGCTTAAAGCTGGAAGGAGCCTTAAGGATCACGTAGTCCAGGGGTTCTTAACCTTCTGTGTGTCACATGGTCCTCGTTGGCAGACTGGTGGACCCCTTCTCAGAATAACGTTTTAAAATGCGTAAAATAGATAGACTTACAAAGGAAGCCAAAAGTTAGTGAAAATAAAGATGGATATTTTTTCCCAAGTTTATGGAGATATGAACTGATTATTTCAAGATGATACACATAGTGAATAATAGAGCTACGGTTTGAACCAAAACCTTATGATTCAAAATCCACTTTTATTTCCACTACTTGCTACCTCTCAACAATTTCTGAGGTCATTGTTGAAGGGATATTGAGGGGAAAGACATAGGTGTGTTTTAAAGAAACACATTCCACTAACTGTCTTTATTCTAGTGCTTACAGGGTCTCAGATCCTTTTTTTTTTTTTTTCTGCTGATAGGGATTGAGTTTCGCCGAATTGGGTCTGTGATTGGGGTCTTCAGCTCCCACACTGCAGTTTGTAGCCTCTCCAGGCATGGCAACAAATCTACCAACCTTTAGAAGTCTGTGACAGCTATTAACTCTTCTCATTGTTTTCTCATTGATTTGTGTATGGTCTTATGATAATGCAATTTAGTGTTAAAAGGGACTTTAACAATCATCTAATCCTACCTCCTCATTTTACAGATGAAGAAACTGAGGCCCATACTGAACATGCAATGTGTGCTCTAGGCTCTAGTCTGCCGCCAGCTCTTGCCCTCGGGACTCAGGGTGGGAAGGGAGCTTTGATCTCTGAGAGTGCTCTAGAGTAGACTGGTATTTTTAACCTTTTTTTTGTGTCAGGCTGGTGAATCCTATGGACCCCTTCTCAGAATAATGTTTTTAAATGCAACAAGATAAAATAAATAGAATTATGAAGGAAACCAATTATATTGAAATATAATTATCTGTGTATGTGTATATGTATGTGTATATATACTTGCACACACATATATGTGTATGTGTGTGTATATGTGTGTATACATACATGCAAGTTCATGGACCCCAGGTTGGGAACCTTTGCTCTAGAGAACAATTGGAAACAATTTTTTTCCCCAACAGTTTCCAACTGAGAGGGATGAGTAAGAACTATAATCCTTATCAGCAGCCACTAACCACTGAGGCACCTGGAAAATGTTTATGACAACAATGCCCAGTACTTTTCTACTTCTTAAAAATATTCTGACAATGCTTTTCAATCATCTTCCATTTCTGTCATTGGTGCCATCATTCTTCCAGTCCCCAGGCCAGAAAACAAGGGCATCTTGGACACTTTCTCTCCTTCATCCCTTTGCTCTGTCTCTTTCTAGTTCTTTCTTCCCAAGAAGTGTCTCTCACAGATGTGGTCCTTCCTTTCCATTCTTGCTGCTACAACCCTTGTTTAAGTCATCATGTCCTCATGCCTTGCTCTCCTGTTACTGCTGATTACAGTTGACCTCTTAGCAAGTCTCCCTGTCTCTACTATTTTCTCCATTCCAATCTCTCTTATACATAGTAGGATGCTAAAAGATCTTTCATTGCTTTTATCATTCCCCTAACCTGTTCAGTAATTGTCAATGACTCCACAACTGTCTAAGTCTTGTTGTTGTTGTTATTGTTGTAGAGTGTCAGATTCTTGGTGACCCCATTTGGGGTCTTCTTGGCAAAGATACTGGAGTGGTTTGCCATTTCCTTCTCCAGCTCATTTTACAGGTGAGGAAACTGAGGCAAACAGGGTGAAGTGACTTGCCCAGGGTCACATGGCTAGTAAGTGACTGAAGCCAGATTTGAATTCAGGGAGATGAGTCTTCCTGACTCCAGGCCCATCACTCTATCTATTGTTCCACTTAGCTGCCCACCCTACCTAGCCAACTTTATTTCCCACTCCTCCATTTAATTCAATTGTTTTTATTAAGCGTCTGTTTTATGAAAAACAAAGTGCTAGTGCTGGGATCCCATGACAATAATTAAAAAGTCCCTTCCCTCAAAGAGCTTACATTCTAAGGACTATCATAACCGTTTTGTGGTTGTGATCCTATACTATGGGACTTCCTATAAAAGATGCAAAGAAACCTGGAAGTTTTAAAGGGAAGGCTGCTCTAGGGCTGCATGCTGTGTTTTGTGCCTGTTTTATTATTGGGCTGATGCAAACTAATGGTCCTGAAATGGAGAGAAATGGGTTCTAAATTAAGATGCTGTCAGCGTGGATAAGTTGCTTCCTCACTATATGACTCAGTTCTTTCATCTATAAAATGGGATGAAGAATGTTGAGCTGCTTAATGTCCTACTATATGCCAGGCTTATTTCTGATTTATTTGCTTTTGTGCTATCCTACTTGTCAGGCACCATCTTCCCATCACTTTCCATTCATTGAAATTATACCCATCTCTGAGGTCTAGCTCATGTTGCTTTTCCTCCATGAAGATTGCAGAATGTACTGATCTCTCCCTCATCTGGACTCATGACGTGCTTATTACCATGGTTTAGCTCCTAATAGAATGAATGTAAATTGCAATTGTTTTCTGTTCTGACCAGAAACTTTGAGGGTCTTTCCCTCCCAGATTGATATTTTTGTGGTGGTAAATTAGGACGTCTATTGTCTCAATTCTTTTTTTTTTTGGCTAGGCGATGGGGTTAAGTGACTTGCCCAAGGTCACACAGCTAGTGTCAAGTGTCTGAGGCCAGATTTGAACTCAGGTCTTCCTGACTTCAGGACTCTAGCCACTGTGCCACCTAACTGCCTCTATTGTCTCAATTATTACCTAGCTCTTAGTCATTGAATGGATGTTGCCTCAGACAAACTGAGACCTGGAAAAGAACTTAATTTATTATTGTTGGTAAATATCATTTTATTTTTTCTAATTACAAGTAAAGATAGTTTTTAACATTCATTCTTTTTTTTTTGGCTAGGCAATGGGGTTAAGTAACTTGCCCAAGGTCACACAGCTAGTAAGTGTTAAGTGTCTGAGGCTGAATTTGAACTCAGGTCCTCCTGACTCCAGGGCCAGTGCTCTATCCACTGAGCGACCTAGCTGCCTCAACATTCATTCTTTATAAGATTTTGAATTTCAAATTTTTTCCACCTCCATTCCTCCCATCTCCACTCCCCAAAATGGCAAGCAATCTTATAAACATATTTCCACATTCGTCATGTTGTGAAAGAATTAACAGAACAAAAAGGAAAAGCCACAAAAAATTAAAGAAAAGTGAAAATAGTATGCTTTGATCTACATTCAGACTCCGTAGTTCTTTCTCTGGATGTGGATAGCATTTTCCATCATGAGTCTTTTGGAATTGGGAAAGAACTTAATTTAGAAAGGCCAAGGTCACACACTGCATCCAAGCCATCAACAATTATCTTGACTTCTGTCTTGCCACTGAACTTTGATGACTCTGGAGGAGGGAGTGAGGCTGACCACTTTGTGCAGCTCTGCCTCACTTAAATCCAGTACACTCACAAGTCAACATATCACCCTCATGATTGGTCCTTCGGTCCTCTTTAGAAGGAAGGATGAACAATAGGCACGTTTTCTCATTGATTTGTGTATGGTCTTTATGGTAATCAGAGTTAATGTTGAAAGGGATTTTTGTTCAGTTTTTCAGTTGTGTCTGACTCTTCGTGACCCCATTTAGGGCTTTCTTGGCAAGGATGCACGAGTAGTTTGTCATTTCCTTCTCCAGCTCATTTTACAAATGAGAAACTGAAGCAAACAGGGTTAAGTGACTTGCCCAGGGTCACACAGCTAGTAAGTGTCAGGTTGAATTTGAACTCAAGTCCTCCTGACTCTAGGCCATCTTGCTACAAAGGGGATTTTAATGATCATGTAATCCTACCTCCTCATTTTACACTGAAGTCCATACTCAGCATACTGTGTCTCACCTACCTGCATTCATGCAGGCCACCTCCAGTTCCTGAAAGGCCCTCCTTCTTCATCATCACCTTTCAGAATCCTTCTCTTCTTTCAAGGCTCAGTTAAGGTGCCACTTTTATGCAGCCTTCCCTGATTCCTTTCCCACTCCCACCCCATGAAAGCATTCTCTTCCTCAGATTTTCTTAAAGCACTTTGTCCAGTCATTTTCTTTGACTTTCTCCCATGCCTTGGATGCTCTTCCTCTTCTGCTCCAACTACTGACCTCCCTGGCTTCCTTTAAGTCCCAACTAAAATCTCACCTTCTACAGGAAGCCTTCCTCAACCCCTCTTAATTCTAGTGCTTTCCCTCTGTTAATTATTTTTCTAAATATCTTGTATATAGCTTGCTTTATTTGTATGATGTCTCCCTGATAGATAGTAAGCTCCTTGAGGACAGGGACTGTTTTTTGTCTTTTTTTTTTTTTTATCGCTAGCTCTTAGCACACTTAGTACGTGGTAGGTGCTTAATAAATATTGATTGATTGATGGATTGATCTCTCTTTTACTTCCATCACACCCTATCTTGTCTTCATGCTTACTGTGTACTTCTTATACATGATCCAACCCCCTCCATGCCCAGTAGAATATAAATTGCTTGAGTGTAGCTCATTTAAACAATTTTTGTCCTCAGCTCCTAGTAAGGTGCCCTGCACATTCAATAAGCATTGGTAAATTGAATTGAAAGAGCTTAGATTGTTTGCC